AAAGCATTCTTACTTTACAGCATTTTTTCACACCTGCCTAAAACTTTTGCACAGTACTGTGTATCACACAGTCTCAAACTTTAGATAGGTAAGTATAAATTAAACAAAGCCATAAATAAAACAATGCTTAAGTAGCCCAGCTACTTAACTCTAGCTTCAAAATGGGGGCAGCACTGCTTAACAGTCAGAGCTAAGGCTGAAAGCAAGGAGAAGATATATGGCCTTGTGAAAAATCTGAGGAAGATATTCTCTAAGGCTTTACAGTGATTCAGGGATCCAAATCTTTGCAGACCATTTTAATACCCACAGTCAAGTATATTATTATTATTATTATTATTATTATTATTATTATTATTATTTCTTGCTTTTCTGTTAAAAGTAGAAATATCAAATACAAAATGCAAAAGTATTAAATACAATCAAAATAATAAATATAATAAAATTTATAAATAACATTAAAAATAATTTTAAAATGAAAATAGTACTTAAATTATGGAAAGCAGCATTGAAGTAGAATCAGTTTAGATAAAATAATACATCTTATTTTAAAACTTCAGTATACTCTAAAACCCCTCTTCCAAGAGGGAAACCAACAATTTACCACTGAAAGGATAACCTAAAACTTTGGTATTTCCACTGTTCTTTGTCCTGTTTTTTGTGATGATAGGATGAAGAGCAGGATACAGCTTTGCAATCTTGCTATAAAAAACAGTAACATTGGAAGAACGGGGTGAGGGAACAGGCACCAAAACCAATCTTAAGCCTCAAACAAATTGGAAAATGGTGGCTCTTGAGAAAAGCTGCTATGAGGCCATTCAAGCTGCTTTGTGTTGGCTCGTCCCCTTGCTACTATGAAAATATAACTCTGGCCACTGCAATCCAGTTGAAGATTTGCAGAAAAGTGTTTAAAGGATTTATGATTTAACATGATAGTTAGTCTAGACTGCTGCCCAACTAGTAGATCTGTAACTCAGATTTACTTTTAGAAATAAACTACCTTGAACAAAGTCAACCAATATTCTCAAAGTATTGTTAACCCACAAGCAACCCCTAATAGAAAAGTGGAATTATTCATAATGAATGAAACACTTTTGAATTTCACAAGAAAAGCAAGCCTGACTCAAAATGTCAAGCACCATACACAAATAGTCAATAAGTAGTTGCCTTCACAGTTGTAGTGGGCTGTGAGAATAACCTTGAGAGATAAGAGGAAGAGCTGCAGCCTAGACAATGATTGGATCAACAAAATCTAAGTCCAAGACAGGAATGTAATTCAATCTTGAGAGACAACAGTAAGCGTCTCAGAATTGACCTTCCCTAGTTCTCTGGAACGTAAAGGCAGGAGAGGAAGAGGCACATTCAGACTTACAAGATTCGGTTATTGTAACCTTATAATAAAAGTAGCATTAGTATTCATGATTTTGGTTTCCTGGTCTGAACTACCTCAAAGGGCAGACAACTGTGTTCATGATGGCCCATGTAGCTTGATTCAGTGCTTCTCCTTTACTCTGTGTCATGAATAAAGCGTCATCATCATCCACTGCAAAACAAAATGGAAAATAAATGGAATCATTTATTTCATATTCACTGGCAACACGTCATTAAAAAAGGTTACTGGTCCCAACGAAAGAATAAATTTTGGATTGTTCTTTGTCCTATCATCAAGGCCAAAGCTACTCCCTCTGTCATCAATGGGAGGAGGGCAATTCTATCAAGGCTATTCCTAACAATTTCACAACTGACAATACAGTAATCTAGGGGAAAGAGTATGTATGTATGTATATATGTGTGTAAGTATGTATATATGTACGTCAGTAGACTAACAGGCAAATGTTGTAGATACCAGCTATGCTTTCTAATACTTTGTGAATGCTATAAGAAATACTGGAATACATTTATGAATTAGCATCCAGAACCTGAAGCTCCTTTGGCAGAATTCTTGACTCAAGAGTTTTTGAGGATTACTTGTAGTTGTAGTACAGCTGCCTCAAACCGCAGTTCTGAGATAATATCCCCCTCCCCCCAATATTGTGCATGGAATAGTACAGAAGGAGCTTATATTGGCCATAGCAAATCTTGGCAATTTTCTAGAGTACCTATTTTATCCTTGAGAACCATAGCCTACATACATCTTGGATTTTTCCTCATAAAGATCACAGTGCCATAGAAATCCTGTCCTTACCTCAGACTCTAGAAGGTAGATACCTTTGCCATCTTTACTCATATTATAAAAGGCTTCTGTAAAAGAAAGAAATGAGGGGAAATGATTAAATATTCCACAGAAAAAAGACAGGCCTTATTATCTCATGTCTTTGGATCTCAAAAGCCAGGCCAGCTGCAGCAATGAAGGGGCCTTGAGGAAAATGCCCTCCCTTCTTAGGAGAACCAGTCTGAGCAGTTGGAAGAGGTAGCATCACTTTTTAAATGCCCCACAAGGTTCTGTAGCACCACAACATCAGGAACATTTCAGCAAACTAAAATGATGTTAAGATCCAACCATTTCTAGAGCTTTGGGCTAGTCTATTTCATCAATGCTTAAGGAGGCTCGGGGCTGATGTTAGAAAAAGGTTTTGTGGTGATTTAAAACTCTGTCACCTTTGACATAAAAAAATCACCATGTAATTAATACCTCTGTACTTTGTACCTTTGGGCTACCTGCTTTTTACCAGCAGTCTGATATAAAGAAATTGGGAATGCATGACTTTGACTAATCTGGACATAAATGGAAAGGGGAAAAGTCCCCAGTTAAATGTTTGTATATCAAATTGCCCTTAAAAGCAAATGAGTGGAGCTAGCAAAATTTGGCAACTTAAGCAAATCACTGGGTCAGCCTTCCTAGTTCCCTTCAGATATACTGGGACCATAACTCCCAGGATAAAAATTCCAAGCCATCATCAGATTAGCAGGATCCAAAGAAAAATGGAAGTCTGGGACATGCTGTTTCCTTCCATGATGCTTTGGAAGAACTCACATCAAAGACCCAACCAAATCCCACCAAGTCCACTGTGACTACTACCCCATCATAAGTCTCAGAATATGGGTTTCTCATTCACTGCCAACCTTAAAAGGACATTATTTATTAATCTTCCATTCATGCAGAGATGTATTTATCACCCTACATCAAATAACCCAAGGCAGTTACAATATAACATCAATAAAACTACAAATCAATATAAAAAATAATAATATATTATAAAAGCAGCCCAAGTCATCCATCTGCACCAAAATCCTATTGGAATAGCATGGTCTTAACAGCTTTGTAAAAGGAAAGCAAGTTGGGGGCTCCCCACACCTGTGAGGGCAAGGTATTCCACAATGTGGGGACATCATTAGGAAAATATGCTCCTTTCCACTCCTTTCACCTTAAGGTGGGATGGAAATCCTCCACAACCTTTCTGGTGATGAATGTACAGGACAATCGTGTAGGCAACATAGGGCTTTAAAGGCTGACAATCCTACCAAGCCATGTAGGGCTTTAAGGATGAAAAGCAGCACCTTCAGTTGTTCCTGGAAGCCTATTGCTAAACAATGCAACAAAGATATGACCCTACTAAATTTACACATTCCCATTAACAGTCAGACTGTTGTATTTCCATATTTCCAAGTAATTTTATGAGAACCATTTGTAAAGCAAATATGAGTAGTTTAAATGTGAGGTGATGAAGGCATGAGTTACAGTTGGAAGGGTTCCTCCTTCAGAAGACATTTGCTTTTGGGTGTCTTATCATAACTCAGAGCTCTCTCCATTCCCGTATCCTTAGCAGGGAAGCTGAGCCAATTTATATCCTTTGATCACTAGGGGAGACCTTCCTTTGTTACTTGGCTGAAGTATAGCAGGTAGTACATAGAAAGAAGCCTCACAGGTGGCACCCAAGCCCTAAAACCTGGGGGGGGGGGGTTAAGCCTGGGGAAGAAGGGTACTTTTGTTTTTAACCATGTTTTGTGGATTGTTGTGAGCCGCCTAGAGTCATTACACGAGACATTATAAATCCTGTAAATAAATAAATAAGATATCTCAAGCCTGGGGAAGAAGGGTACTTTTGTTTTTAACCATGTTTTGTGGATTGTTGTGAGCCGCCTAGAGTCATTACACGAGACATTATAAATCCTGTAAATAAATAAATAAATAAATAAGATATCTCCCTGCTGAGATATTCAATCGCCTTCCAGCTTCTCTGCTTTTCTATCACAGTGGAACACACTGTTATTTCAGTTGTTGTTTTGCCTACAGCTCTTTGGCGGTTTTGTTCTATTATTTATAGTGCAGTTTTAATACTTTTTTTAACTTGTTGCATCTAATGAGTTTTTCTTCTGCTTTACTGTAAGCTGATTATGCTTGCCAAAAAATACAGTTTTTGAGACAAAACATAGATGGGATAAAGAACTTTAAATATAATAAACTGTGAATCCATTACCCTCCAATGATATCTATCTCAAAAAATTCCCTGCATTTTTCTTGATGCAGTGATCTAAAGGAAGCTCAGTGGCATATTCATTTCTATTCTGCATGGGGGTATCTGTGAAAGAAAGTCCCATGGAGTCCCATGAAAGAAATATAGTTAAAAGTCTACTTACCCATCATGAGTTCCACACGCAGCATGAAGCAGGCAAAGTTCTCAAACGTGATTTTTAGATCAGGATTTCCATACCGGATTGTCAACAGCTTACAAAGTTCATTGCTGAGGGAGATTCCTTTGGAAAGATAAGAAAACCTCCAAAGATGTTTAGACTGATATGTATGTGTGTGTGTATATATATGTATATATATGTGTGTGCGTGTGTGTGTGTGTGTGTGTGTATGTATGCATCTGTGTATCTATGTGTGTGTGTGTGTGTGTGTGTATATATATATATATAAAATAAATCCCATGGAATTCATTTTAGTACAGATCTTTATAGGGTTATACATTCAGGTACCTTGTTTAAATCTAATGTTTTCTCCAATAAGGTTCAGTTTGTTGGAGATACATATTGTTCCATGCCATGAGAGATTAATAACTAGCACCAATTCATGTAATGGATTTCAGTATTGAGCAGGGATTTGAACCCAGAGCCCCTGCTCAAGTTCAGTACTTAATCTATTACACTTCACTGGCTCTAGAGTATAATGAATTATAGTGGTTAAAATGTACAAGACAAGGAAAAGCTGGCCTGCGTTATATGCAAGATATTTTACAAATTCCTCATTTATATGCAAATATTTTGTAGCATTTCTCTCTCACATCTCCCAATAATGTCTCTCTGTAAAAGAGAACTATATGACTGTGCCCAAAAGGAATTCCTTTTGGAATGCAAGAGTCGCATTCCAAGCTCCAGTGGTTTCAACTTATGCTGCCATGGCTATATCCGAAAGCCAAAACTGCATAGCTGGTATCAGCTGGATGGATAGTTTCCATCTCAGTACAGTAGTGACTTCCCTCGGGTAAGTAGTTGCTGGAACAAAGACTGATTCTGAGTTAGCATGTAACTCACATTGGGTGAAGTAAGGGCCATTTAACACAACCTTCTCCAACATGGTACTTTCTGAATGTGTTTCTTTATTAGTTAGTTAGTTATTAAACATATTTCTATGCCACCATAATCAAAAAGACTCTCTGCAGTTTACACACAAAAAACCCCACAAAATACCTAGATAATATAAAGATAATAACCACACTATAAAAATAAAACCTTTCAGAGCCCAACTTCCCAACCAACATTGCCTTAAAAATGGAGCGCACTGAGCTGAGGAAGACTATTTTAGTGCACCCTATGGCTAAACTGAATACCTATTACAATTCAAGCAACTTGAGAAGTATTTATATATTTGTGAATTGCACTGATTTTAATCAGAGGGCCTTTAGTACACCCTAGTTCTCAGAGTATGAAAAGCTGGAATTGAATCTTTCCTGCTATATCACGTTGGCCATGTCATCAGTGGCAACAGCAATTAGAATGATTAATCCCAACTCCATAATATGGAAATAATATTTAACTTCCCTTAGTATCACACAGAAATATGTATCTCATCAATTATGAAATTACAGCCATCATTTATTTTACTGCCATTTAAGAAACTATGAAAACAGCGTTGAGAATCCTAAAAATAATTTTATTGTTCCCAAACTTTTATTATTGTTAGCTGCCCAGCTGTCCAAAACTTTTATTACTGTTAGCCACCCGGAGTCACTGGTCTGACACGGGCAGCTATATAAATTGAATAAATAAATAAATAATGTAAACATCTTTTACACAAGAAGGACTGGAATCTGCAGTGGAAGCACTGTTATCCGTTAATAATGAGTTGTTTAATTTAATCAGTCAAAGTGCATTAATTTGATATGTTATATCTGGTATTTTAATTGCATTATGCTTTCATTTATGATTGGATCATTATTGCCATATGATGTAGCAAGTGAATTGTAATGAACTTTAATTTGATTTTTGTTTGTACACAATCTTAACTGTAACTTTCATTCTTTTTATTTGTTAATGTCAGACTAAATAAAGATAATTAAACTCCAACTTCAGATTCATTAAATACTGTACTAATCTCATTTAACGTAGCTGTATTCCATATTGTCACCTTATAACCATTTACCTTACAGCTGTTTTAATCAAATGCATTTTAAAAACATTTTACAAGATGAAATTAATCTTTGGTTCATTTCAATACAACATAAAGGCCAGTAGGATCATTCAACTCTATATAATAGAGGTTAATTAAGTTTTTAAATGGCTACTGATAATTTTGTGCAAACATTACCACCAGTTTATCTGGTTTTATGTAAAATGTATAAAAATGCAGACATTTGACCAGGCAAGAATCTCGGATGATTTTGTTGCATGTTCTTCCTGTAGAAACTCAAGTTGGCATAAATAGGAGGATTTCACTTTGACAGCACTATGATCTGAGTGCCCTTGGAAGCATGTGGGTCTTCCCTTCAAAGTGCTGGCTTGGAATATTCATAGTACTCCAGCCCAGATGCTAAAAGAGGATTCTGGATATGTGTTGCACATGTCCAGAGACAGATGAAGTTGATTCATTTCAGTCTGAGGCTCTGAGATAGCCAAGATTAGAATCTTGAGGTAGATCAGAACTTCTCAACAGAGGTAATCCTTACAACTGCCTAAGTTGATAGGTTGGGATGAGAAACAGTGATTGACCCAAAGTCATCCAGTGAGCTTCATAGCTGGACTGAGTCTCAGATCTAGGACCTTTCAATTCTAGTTCAATGTTCATAAATACTATATCACACACAACATTCTGGATGAAGGCCAGTATGTAAATGAATGTGTTATCATGATATGCAAACTTGGGGTGCCACTACATAGGCCAGGGCAGGTCATTTTTAAGAGCTGGAAGCCACACTATTTGTATTTATTGTTTGACACTGGAAGGGATGTGGCTGATGACATGACAATACAGGAGAAGCTTCAGGCTGCTGTTTAGGAATTTAATCTATTGATTTGGTCCTAGACCAAAAAGAAAAGAAAAGTGAGCTAACATCGATCACTTAAAATCTATTGAGAATAGATTAAAAGGAAAAAGGAGGGCTCGTGTATATATAGGAATGTACTGTATGTGAGTATGTATATATGTAATGCGTGAGTCAGAGTGGATTTGCTAGATCTGGGGTCAGATATCATTCATGTCAAACCCATCATCTCTGAGATTGCAATGATATGGAAGTTCACAATTTGGTAATGCAATCACTTTTTCTTTTTCTTTTTTTTGGTGGTGGTGGTGGTGATTACATTGGACTGGTCTCTCAACAGAAAAGATATACTGCTTCAGACAGAGGCCAGTCCAAGCATCTGCTGATGAGAAGAGAGATTCATTCTAGGCATCAGGTATGATACAGGGAGCAGCAAAGTAGGGCAGGCATCCAAATAGACACAAAGGAGAAGGAACAGAAAAGGCAGATTAATAGAAAGTAGTACCTTAAGCTTCATAGAGGCCTAAAGCAAAATATATTGCTCCCAATTTTCGGGGGGGGGGGGGTAGGTGGGGTGGGAATCGAAATTTGGTTCACTTTTCAGAGATGGAATGGATTTAAGGGGCAAAGCTCCTTCTGCTTTGATTCACCTAAACCAAACCTGTTTCCTTTCACAGGCATTTTCCCTCACATCTGTCTTAGCTCTGTCAACTGAGAGCTTTTTAAACGCTAATTCCAGGGACTGAACCCAGGATTTCTGCTTGCAGAGCCTCTGCAAGTGAGCTACAGCCACTATGACTACCATTCACTCATTTATAAGATTTGGCAGCTGTAGGATATTTCTGGTGAAAAACTAAAGGACTCAGAAGTTTTCTGCTTTATATCTGACTAGGGCAGTGTTGTCCAAACTTGGCCACTTTAAGATGAGTGGACTTCAACTCCCAGAATTCCCC